AAGACACAACAGTCTCGAGATGAAATTGACCTTGAAGCAAACCTTGCCTCTCAGTGTTGGCAGTGGGGGTGGGCACATATCTGAGTGATGGATGGCTGATCTGCCTTTCTGTACTGAAATTTGCCCTTGGATAACTGCCCCAATTTTTTGCTTTTGGATAAATGCAGACTGTGGCTTTCTAGTCAACTGGTGAGGGACTTGGGTGATATCAAAGCCAGGAGAGCCAAAGGGTGAGGGTAGCAGGAGCTGGTGTAGGCTCTGACAGCTTTTTGATTCTTGGTGCCCTCTGCCAGCCTCTTTCGCTTAGAATTCTGTCCAGGTATGAAGCTGTGGATTGAGGCTGAGGCTTATCAGTGGAGCAGGTAGAGCACAGCTTGCCTTACAAAGACCCAGTCCTACGCAAACCCCCTTGGGTAGCACTTCCCAGGGGGAGAATTGTTTTGCTGCAGCAGTTAATAGAAGGGACTCCCACCCACCCATCTGTGCTGCTGTAAGAGCAGAAAGTGAGAGTGGTGGGCATACCGCTATGGAGAGACAAGAAAGAACTGTGCAACATTCAAGGATTCGAATGGCTCAAGAGCGTGTGGCCATGCACAGAGAATGGGACATTGAAGGAAGCCTCACTACAGGCCACAAACCATGCACCCATTTTCATATGGTACAAACAGTGTCTGTGATTCTATGCAGGTCTACTCTGAATAAGTTCCATTTGATTCAGTGTGGCTTACTACCAGGAAAATGTCGTCAGGATTGCAGCCTGAATGCCCAGCTCTCTGATAGGGTGCACACTAGAAACAGAAGGGAGGAGCAAGTTGGGTTTGATGGGCAGGCCAGATGGGAACAAGAGCAGGAGCCTTTGCTGAAGATCTGACTTAAAATTCTAGAGCTGTGGTGTTGGTGGGCATTGTGGAGCCTCTATAATGTCTGCAATGGTGAACTTAAGCAATAGGAGTGGGGCAAGGAGTAGACAAAGACTTTTCATGTGATATAAATACCAAGGGCAAATTCACATTTACTTCTGTGACCTGGAGTGATAACATCACTCCCATAGTAACCACCTTACTACTTTTTCCTTTTTGCCTCCAATGCGTATTCCCATTTTAATACTCCGTAATGACGTCTGTTTTTCCTTATCAGTAGGTCATGCTGGCAACCACTATGCAGTACTCCCTGGCAGTGACTAAAAAAATATGGTAGCCTCTGTGCTTATGTGGGTCCAGGGCTGGAAAAGTGGAGAACTTGCTTGGAAGATCGAAGATAAGCCCTACAGTCGAATCCCCTTGTATTTATAACATTTCTGGTCCCAAGCGTCTTTCTGATGAGACGGGTTAGGCTGAGAGAGAATCACTGGTCTAAAATGATCCCGCGAGTTTCATAGCAAGAGGGGATTTGAACATGGGTCTCCCACAAGCTAAGGCACCTCTCCTACCACTGCATCACACTGGCTTTCCTGTTACCCTTGGCCATATCACAGTTGGGGCCAAAGCAGTGGTGTGGCAAGATATCCACTCACCAATGTCAAGTGAGGCTTTGCTTTCCAGTGCTAATGGCTAGGCTAGGGATCAATGGCTTATTTTGGCATTCCAAGCAATCAGGTACTTGTGGAAAGGCACCACGCCTGCCAGTGTTGCTATTGGCCTTTTGCTGGGTGATAGTGAGATATTGAAAAAATGGTATTCAGCAGAGATAAGAGTATTCAGCAGAGCCAGAGTAAAATAACTCAGGCTGAGAGTCCATGTGTGATTAAAATATAAAGTTTTTACTAAATTCTAGCATGGGAAGGGTAACTGGGATGAAAATAACGACAGAGCATAATCGGCTACATCCTTACTCTACAAAGACAAAACTAGAAGAGAGAGATTATGGCTACTCTTCTTCTTCAGAACACCAAACAAAGACAGGAAGAGAAGCCATAAAATGGTAATACACCTTGACGCTTTAGTCCCAATCAAATCCCTAGATCAGGGAGAAAATTCCCGGGCTTTCTACATCTAAAGAACATTGGTTACATGAGAAACATGTGACTTCCTGTGAGTAACATAAAGAAACATTTAACCCCAGATATACTGAGTGTTTTCCACTTTTAGTACCCAACACCTTTGCAGCCTCAAGGGTTGGACTCATCTTCACGTCTTGAAGCAAAATTCCTATCATCCTCTCTCACTTTGTTCTTCAAAACCACCCAGGCTGTGTTTTACCACATGAGCAGTCACAGTGTCAGCATCAGAGGGGGGAGGGCATGCAGCTCGCCTGCTTGGTTGGGGGGTCCCTTGTCCTCCTTCTCCAGGGGGAGAGGTGAATTCTTCTTCTTATAACAGGCAAACAGCAGCATGTGTGTGCTGAGGAAGAACTATCTCTAAACTTCAAGGCAGCCATTAGATGATCGCCTCTCATTATTAAAGTTTAATTTAAACTGTGTATCAGAAAGAACAAACAAGCTCGTATCAAAGGAGCCTCTGGCATTTTTTTTAAATAGTTGATTAAATTTAAGGGAGTGGGGGCTGGAAGCCAACACTGACTTTCTTTATTTATTTCCTCTGAGCTTCCATCCCCTGGGTTCCCTCACCGCTGCAGAGAAAATGTGCAAATGAATGCCCAATATTAATTTTGTCTCTTCAGGTTGCTACAGGGAAGGCTTCTCCAGCCTCCCCTCAGCCTGTTCCTTTGACTGGACTGCCCTGCCTAACTCCCTTTTGCAGGAGATTCTGTTTTCTCTTCCTTCTCTCTTCTGTCAGCCTCATTTTTAAACACCTTGAATCCTACCCCATCCTCACTGTTTGCTGGTGTGTGATAGATTTCCTTGGTCTTGACTGTCCAGACTTATTCCCGGATCAGATCGTATTATTATTTGAGTGAAGTTCAGAAGGAACAAGTGGGTAAGCCATGGGAGGGGTCATCCTCTTTCCTACTCCTTCCCTATCAATCTTCCATTCCCCTCCTCCTCCACTGTCTGGGTAGTGAAGGGTGCGGGGTATAAATCCAATCTCTTCTTCTTCTTCCATATTCTCCATCCTGCCCTTCTGCATTCTCTCAGCCCAGCTGTCATGCTGCCCAGCAACTTCTCTCTATTATGTGGCATTTTGAAAGACCGTCAGGTGGGAAGTGTGGCCCAAACAACAATCTTGTGGAATTCCACATAACTAATGGCCATTACTAAATTTACTGCCACATGATGCAGTGATGGCTCTTTGTTCAGTTGGTTCTAAAAGGAGATTAGGAATATTCATGAAGGATCAGCCCACTTATTGTTAATGAATATTTGGAACCTCAGGACTCAGAGGCAGGAACCTTCTGCAGCAAATCTACTTTGCTTCAGTTTATTACAGGGCAACACCTGGAGGCTTTGGCCTCTGTGTCCTGCTGGATGTCTTCTGGGAACGTCTGGCTGGCTAGTGTGTAAAACAGGATGCTGGACTAAATGGACCGATCCAGCATGGCTGCTTCTAGGTTCTTATAGATCTATTTTCTGTACAACATGCAGTCACAACCCTGTTGATAGGAGGCAGCAAAGACTCTGATGTTTTATGGAGGTGGGGAAGCAGGATTCAATGCCATGATAAAATAGAATATTTGGAGCTTCAGGAGCTCGGAGCTGGTGAATGGTAGGGAAAAGGTTTATAGCTGCTACATGTGTGAGTCAGTTTTCTTTTTCTCAGTTTAAGCAATGCCTCAGGGCCTGAAATAACACAAGCTAAAGAGCTCTGGCCTATTCCTGTGATTTGCTTCATTTGAAATTTTGTGATGTTAGTGACACAGAGCAGAGATATACTCATGTTTCTTTGTGAAGCTCAGGATCTGCAAGCAATAGTAAGGAAATCAACAGCCCTACATCCCCCCCCCCCGAATGCTGTCTTTGATACTCCCGTTTTCAACAGTATACATCTCCTACCACAAATGATCCAACAGAGATGTTTTGTAGTGGCACTTGGTTAACACTGACCCAGAAATGGTATCTATACTCCCCTTTTCCTCTGAGAAATGGAGGAAATGCTTACAAGGGTCATTGTACCATGGTGGGGGAAAAAAAGTTCTGAGGTACGTGATGACGCAGCCCTGCCACACTACAGATCCAGAGAGCACACTCCCCCAAACAATTGGTTTGGGCTGATACATGGATTCTTGGATTCAAAGATACAGTGGAATGCTGATTCACAAATCATTGTGCATTGGCAGGAAATTGTCATGTGCAGATGTGGCAGTATACATATGCCTTAAAGAACAGCATTGTAATACTGACCAGAGCTTGTGGTAGCTCCAGAAGGAGCACCATCTGCCTCTGCAGAGACCCTGATACCAACCCTGAATCCATGGCTGCTTGTACAGCCAGAGGGCAGCCATGCCTGAGAACACTGATTTTCAGGCAGTCTCCTTTCCTTTCCTAATGCTGCTTCTTTATGCATTGCTAGCTTATTTCATCCACAACACTGTGGCAACTTCCTAGAAAGGTTTAAACACCATCACATAGCAGGGCTGGAACAGAAGGAACATATTCTGAATCCAACCAACGTATAACCAACGTATGTCCCTTTTTTACTTGGAATGCTGTTGCAGAAATAAAATCCAAAGCATCCTGAATAAAAAGTAGGCTGTCCTAAAGGGCAGTTTCTGCACTATGTAAAACCTGTTGCTGACAGCATGACTCACCTGTTGCTTTCTTCAACCGCTGCCTGACTGTTCCGTCTTTCCCTTGCCACAACAGAATTTACTGTTTTTATTTTTTTACTTAAAAAAAAATGTTTGGTCCATCGAATAGAACACAAAGGCTGCCCCACGGTCAATCAGCAAGTAAATAACAAAAGCTTGTGTGGCTGCCAGCCATGACACCACAGTGCAGACAACAGTAATTCACTGTAGCCTATCAGGAGATGTAGGAGATTACAGTTGCCCTGGCTATGTACCTCATTGATTGTCGACTGCATTGATCTATGTAGTCATCTCCCTTTCTCTCTCTCTCTCTCTCTCTGTCTGTCTCTCATCAGTGTTCATCTCTCTTTCTCAAGGTACATGATCACATCCCTGGACCGCACCCATGCTGGCTTCTACCGCTGCATCGTGCGCAATCGCATGGGAGCCCTACTGCAAAGGCAGACAGAAGTGCAGGTGGCATGTAAGTGATGGTGCATGTCATGATGTAAGGGTTTCAAAATGTACAAAGGATTGTCCATACAATAGGGCAGGAGTCCAAAGGGTGAGGAGGAGGGTAGCAGAGATGTCATAATGGAGAGCTCAGCCAGTGGTTCCAGTGGGGCAAAATGTGACAGAAGGAGGAGTGGATTCAAAAGGCATTTAGAAGCATGACCGTCTTAACCGATTGTCCTTAGAAATGGAAATTCGCAACTTCCAGCTTTGGCAGAGGACCTTCTATATGTTAGACAGGTGTAACAATGCAAACAGCTGCTTTCTGTAAAGAAAATCAGCTTCAGAAGAGGGCAATTTTGATCATTCTGTGTTTGCTTAAACCACTAGGCATTTTCCCCCTCCAGATGAATGCCCCTCCTCTTTGCCTTTCCTCTAGTGTGGGCTTCCACATGCATATTTGCAAGGGCAAACATACAACTGAGGGGGGGGAGAGGAGAGGAGAAGAATAACTTGAAATAGGTGATTTAGAGCAGAATAATGTCTGAGAGGGGAAAGGTTAACATCCCCTTCTACCCTCCCACTTCTCCAATCAAAATTACCCCTTCCATAAACTTTGGTTACATATTTGCATGTAAGATGTACACAGGCCTTTAATGGAAGAGGAAAAAAGGAGGAAATGTGTGTACTTCTGATATACTTGGGAGCCCAGCCAGTTGTCAGTCCACCCAGTTAGAGTTCTTGAATTATTTGGGTACATCTGCATTACAAGTGGTTTTATACCAAATTAGGGTTGCCAAGTGGAAATTTCTTCTTACCGGGGGACTCCCATTCCGTGGCTGGAGCGCGCGCGCAGCACACACATCACCCGGAAGGGACATGACGATTGGTTTTATACCAAATTAGGGTTGCCAAGTGGAAATTTCTTCTTACCGGGGGACTCCCATTCCGTGGCTGGAGCACGCACGCACCGCACACACATCACCCAGAAGTGACGTGACGATGCTGGGCACGCTGGGGGCAGGGCCATGACCATCCAAGGGAAAACCATAGAGTTTTCCCTCGGATGACCGTGGCCCCGCCCCCAGTGTGCCCGGAGTGGGCCTCTGGGGCGGGGATTTCCCCGCCCCCCGGGGGAACTTGGAAAGCCTATACCAAATTAATTGTTAAGACTTCCTCCAAAGAAGCCTGGCAATTGTGGTTTGACAAGGATCTTGAGAACTTTGTTAGATAGCTCTGACACCCTCACACAGAACTTCAGTGTTCCTTGGGTAGAGGGAATGCCTGTAACAGTAGTGCTGACATGTTATTTGGCTCCCATCTCAGAGCACCTCTGCTTTTCTAAGCTCGGACAAGATACCTTTTCCCCCATCACAATCAGGAAACAGTTTAAAGGATAATTTTGGCATGCCGGGCTGTGCTCCCCTTCCCTCTCATCTTTAAGTATTATCGTAGATTATCCCATAGAGACATGTTTCTTCCATGTGTGGTTACGGGACAAGCTGTCAAGGTCATCAGGCAGCTCTGATCTGGATGGCCCTTGGTGAGCAAATGTTAGGTGAGAAATTATTGGGTGCTAAAGGGCTCTTCAGTTGAGCAGAGGAAAATGGAATTGAAACCAACAGCTGGAAGATGAAGGTGGAGAAATGCAAATTAAAAGAAAGGTGCAGCCTTTTAATGCTGTGAGTGATGAACCACATCATCAAACAGGGCATTTTACACCTTCTTCAAATCAAGATTAGAGGGCTTTCTAAAGGACACCATTCAGCCATCTGCAGGATGCTTCAATAATGAAAGGGAATTCTGTAGCCATGTGCTATATATGAGAAGTCACCTTCCAATTTTATCACCCTTTATTAATCCTCCGGCAACAATCAACTGACCTTTTGTAGTGGTGCCAAATCACAGAACCCTCACAGCTCTTAAGCAATGTCCCCTCCATCCACATTTAGGAGATTACATCGAAAGGCCCCCTTTTTCATTAGTTATTTTTGTTTTTAAAGATTATAGCATATTTTCCAACTCCTTTTTTATGGCAACCAAAACCAGAAATGTTCTCTTTTCATGTGGAAGCTAATCTTCCATCCCTTGAAAGACAGCCATGGAGGTGGGGGGGAGGAAAACAAGACTGATAAGTACTGGAATGATTTGGCTGTGCTTGGGGGACATGAAGCCACATACCCATGTTAGGGTAGCTAATCTCCAGGTAGGGAGATCAGTATTAATAGAAATGTGAGAGAGACAAGCCAGCCTAAGGAGGTTGTTTAACACCCTGTGGTGTTAAATCCCTAAGATGGCTTTTAAGAAAGCCAGCCGCTTGCCTCAGCAGCACCCTCTGAAAGGCAAGAAAAGCAAACAACGTTTATAACAATTACAGCACCATTGCCTGATGCAAGGACATGCTGCCCATATAAATCAGCCGTGGTCTCTGACATGTGGAGGGAAAAGGCTGGAATGTGAATGACAAATCTGTGTCTGGCGGCAGAATCTGGATCAGCTGGCTGACTCCAGAAGCACTTATCTGAGGAACCTCATACCTCAGTGCAGCTGGTGTGTGTGTGTCTGGGAAGAAGCTGTTCTGTGGGAATGGGAACCAGTGGGAGGAAGAAGCTTGAAGAAAATACCTTGAATCTAGTAATGCTTCGTAAGTCTGTTTTGATGTGCCTCCCTACAGTAGACACATTAAGCTTGTCTGCACTAAAACAGTGGCTGTGGGCTTTGTTTGAGGTGGTATATGTGCACAGAATGTTCTAGAAGAGGCATTTAAATAGGTATTTGTATGTGTCCTGTTAGAGGGGCGGTCTTCAACCATGTGTGATCTTTTCTGGCTTTTTAGTAGAACCCACATGGTCCACTGAGGTATGTTATGTGTACAAAGCAAGAATGTATATGTGGGATCTCTTAAAGAGTGTATGGGTTCTGTATGCTGTCTTGCTTAAGGACATAAGAAATACCTGAAAGGATCACACCAAGTTTCACATAGCCCAACATTCTCTGCAAGAATTTCAGTAAGCAGGTATTGCATTAAAAATGGACTTACCAGTGACCTTCTCTGTCCACCCCTCCTCTGCTATAACTTGCTTTGACCTATAGATGCTTCACTAGGTAGTATCCTGCTGATTTATTTGTTTATTTGATTCAATTTCTATCCTGCCTTTCCCACAAGAGGGCTCAGGGCAGGTTACAACATTAACATAAAACAATAAAATCAAGATAAAACTATAAACCCTTAGATGATGGCGATGAAACTACATCACAGCTATTTCAATGGTCCCCTGGTGTTAGACAATAAAAACAGAAAGGGCTAGATCTGAAAAGAAATTCCAGATTATGAATACCCTACCTTGGGTAGACCAAGGTGGCTATCATTCTGTGTCCTCGAAAACTGAAGACCATCATATAAATGGTAACAGAGAGGTAACACAATGGTAACAGGAGGGGCCAGATGATATTTGATGTCTGCTGCCTGATAGAAGAGCTCCATCTTTCAGGTCCTGTGGAACTGTAAAAGGACCCGCAGGGCCTTGATCTCTAGCGGGAGCTCTTTCCACCAGAAGACATCTCACTATGTGACCATGGAATCTTCCTAGTACATTTTTATCCTACCCTTCCTCCAAGGAGCTCAGGGCAGCATACACCGTTCTCCAGTCCCCCTCTTTATGTGACATAGGTTAGACTGAGAGAGTGTGACCATCCCAAGATTACTGAGCAAGTTTCACCACAAACTATAGATTTGAACTCAGGTTTCCGAGATCCTAGTCTGACACTCTGACCACTACACAACACAGTTCCCAATGGAATGCTGCCAGATGGTGCTGTCTCCAGAGGCTGTTTAATGTATGTCGTTCTGTGACATGCAGAGGCCTCCCTGTGGTGTCTTTTTGTCCCAGGAGACATTTCAGTCTTATTGTCTACCTACTGGTTGTGTTCTCTCTCATGACTCAGTGCCTTGATGTGGCAAGGGGGCTTGCGTGGTTAAATGAGGCTGCGGGTTATGTCACGGAGGGCCACCCAGGATGGACAGGCCGCAGGGGAGAACTCAGACAAAACACGATCCACTGGAGAAGGAAATGGCAACCCACTCCAGTATCTTTGCCAAGAAAACCCCATGGACAGTAACAAAAGGCTAAAAGATATGACACTGGAAGATAATCCCCTCAGGTCAGAAGGTGTCCAATATGCTACTGGGAAAAAGCAGAGGGCAAGTAACCCCAGAAAGAGTGAAGCGGCTGGGTCAAAGCCGAAAGAACTCTCAGCTGTGAATGTGTCTGATGGTGATAAGAAAGTCTGATGTTCCAAAGAACAATGCTGCATAGGAACCTGGAATGTAAGATCTATGAATCAAGGTAAGTTGGATGTGGTCAAAAATGAGATGGCAAGACTGAACATGGACATCTTGGGAATCAGTGAACTGAAGTGGACGGGAATGGGTGAATTTAACTCAGAAGACCATTATATCTACTACTGTGGCCAAGAATCTCGTAGAAAAATTGGTGTGGCCTTTATAATCAACAAGAGAATGTGAAAGGCAGTAATGGGATACAATCACAAAAATGACAGAATGATCTTGGTCCGAATCCAAGGTAAACCATTCAACATCACAGTAATCCAAGTCTATGCCCCAACCACTGACGCAGAAGAGGCAGAAGTGGACCAGTTTTATGAAGACCTACAGCACCTCCTAGAACTAACACCAAAAAAGATGTCCTTATCATCATAGAGAACTGGAATGCTAAAGTAGGAAGTCAAAAGGTAACTGGAATAATGGACAAGTTTGGCCTTGGAGAATAAAATGAAGGTGGCCAAAAGCAAAGTCTTAAAAGATGATGCTGTTAAATTTGGAAAATGCAACAGTGGCCACAGGATTGGAAAAGGTCACTTTACATTCCAATTCCCAAAGAAGGGCAATGCCAAGGAATATTCAAACTATCGCACAATTGCACTCATTTCGCTCGCTAGCAAGGTCATGCTCAAGATCCTACAAGCTAGGCTTCAGCAGTATGTAGATAGAGAACTGCCAGAAGTACAAGC